GAGAGAGAGAGAGAGAGAGAGAGAGAGAGAGAGAGAGAGAGAGAAGAGAGAGAGAGAGAGAGAGAGAGAGAGAGAGAGACGAACGCATGCAAAGAAGACATCCCCAAATGGATAAACAAGGATGACACACACAAATGAATATTAGCATGGTGCCTGTGCAAGGATGACATGCGCAAATCGACGAAATGGTCCAAATTGGAAAAAACAAAAAAACAAGGGGGAGGAAAAAGAGAGAAGGAAATTCTAGCAACTGAACCTGGCCGTAATAATCACCAGAAACATGCCAAGAAGTCCAGATTTACGTCAAACCCGCACTAAAGAGTTTTTTTTGTTTTGTTTTTGGACCTTTTCTCGACTTATCTGTGTCATCCTTGTGTAGGGGCCATGCTAATCTTTTATGTATAGTACTATAGTCCCAATTTTAACGAATGTCCCAAAGGACCACATAACTAAGATGATTACCAACTGAACCTGGCATAATCATCAGAAACATCCCAAGTAGACTTCGTGTGAAAACCCCCGTAGCATCATTCCAGGGTATACAACATATAGATCATATAAGTTATAACAGCTGAATCTGGCTGTAATAACAATCAGGTTCATCCAATGAAATGCCTAGTGTGATGACCCGTCCAAACATGGACTGAAACACACAGCTGCTTTCTGAGTTTTGCCCATAGACTGAATGCCTTGCTGAGTTTCCGCCTACTACTAAGTCTGTGTGTGCTTGCTTGCTGGGCTGCATGTCTGTCTGAGTGCTGGTTGGCTTGAGTGTGTGTATGGCCGTGCCTGTCTGAGCGCTGGTTGGCTTGAGTGTGTGTGTGGCCCGCAAGGGCACTTGCTCGCTCATTGGGCCCTCAGGGCCGGTACTTACCTGTGGCCGTGACATTGAGGGATTGCAGCAGGAAAAACACTCAAGTAGCGGGTAGGCCGGTACCGCACCCTGAAGAGGTAGATGTGCGGGTACTGGAGGCCGAGCAGAAGAAGACAAAAGTGGCATTTTTAGAGGCCCGGTAGTTGTAGGTTAGGTCTAGGTGGATACCAGTCCAACCAGTCTGGGTCTAGGGCCTGTACGGGCAATACCAGAGTCTGCAATGATGTTTCCCTCCGAAAGGGAGGAGGTACCGGTTGCTTGGAAGGCCGAGCGGCCTGGAAGTCACCGCTCGAAGAGGCAAGCAGGCCGCTATATGAGCCTATATCTCCCAGCCGGGCAAAGAACCCGGCCTCTTTTTCGGTGTGCAAGTTTGGCGACACACCGGTGGAGCGCTGGTTGGAGCAGCGCTATGCTGGAGCAGCGCTGCTGGGGAGGAAGGAGAAGGACACGAGGGAGGAAGAAGGAAGGAAGGGGGAGGAGCGCCAGGAGTACTTACCTGGCTATGGTAGCAGCCATCTTCATCACCTTGGTGGGCGCTGCAGGAGGGAGTCCCCAACTGGGGAGAGCCACACCAAGAAGCTTCAAGGCAGGGTTGGGCATGGCGGCCTGAGCTAGAGCAGCCATAGCTGCTTTTGGTTGTCCTTTGGGCATCTGGGCAAGGCCTAGTAGTCCGCCATAGCCTCGGCCTATGAGAGTGAAGACTGGGGGAGGCGGCCATGGCTATGGTGGTCCTCAAGTGATACCTGCAGTAGAAGAGGGACTCGGACATTGATTCTGGATCAGCTATTCAACATTGTATTATTATTTCTTGTATGAATAAGAGAAGGGGGAGATAAGGAGGAGGAGATTGTTGGGCGAAGAAGAAGAGCCTTGTCATTTGTCTATGCTGGTGTACATCATCTTCTTCTTCTTTCTTACTTCTTCTTCTTCCTCTAATCCTCTCTCTTCTCTCTAAGTTCATTCATTCCTTTCTGCAATTGGGCGGCATTGTACTATCTGATGGATGTGTATCTCGAAATTGGCCAGGATCATAACACCTAGTGCAAAGATCCCTCAATCAAGAACACCAATGTTTTAATAACGGCAGCAAATGCCCCTCTTTCTTGAGGGCTAGGTATTGGATGGATCTAATGATTATTACAGCCAGGTTCCGTTGTTGAAACACAAAAGATAAATGGTACCGCTTTACATACCTGCACTGCCATAAGGGCAGTATCTCCCATCCCTTTCTTCTTTCCCAAAAGGCAGTCGGCTCCGGACTCGGTGCTGGCCTCCATAGCTGCGGTTGAAACTGCATTTCCCAGCCACAAGATCAATCCTGTGCGCTGGACGAGATCGACAACGCACGACGGTACACGTGCAGCCCTCCGCAAGACCTGCACAAAGAAAAAAGATAACCAAAATAAGAGGTGAGCAGGTAAGGCAAAAACGGCATCGCCACACCACTCTCAAAATGTGCAAAAATGAGCATGAACTTCCCGCTAGAACATGGCCAGATGCACCCGCCAAATTTTTGTCCTTTTCACATTCCAAGAGCGGCGTGGAGAGGCCCAAAGACTCCTGAAATGGCCGGAGGTTGTGAAGTCTAAACTACGATCAACGTTCCTGAATGCCATGATTCCTGATTAGGAATGATGTAAATGATGTAAAGTTGTAAACATTAAAAAAATAATAAAAAAGTGCATATATTTATCATGGCAAGTAGAACATGATCAATGGGTATGTAGTATGAACAGAAAACATAAAAGGGCGATGATGGGTGGTCGGTCTGTGCTGACGACCATGTTCAGTTCTATGTGCACATTAATTGTATCCTCCGAAAGAGAAAAGCCGTAAATAATCTGCTAATTTACATTTGAAGTACTTTTTTCAAGTCATTTGTATTGATGAGAAAGCAACTTGTTCTCCCGCCTTCCGCCCTTCGACCCCTCTCTCTCCGATCAGTCAATGACTCATCCAGTCACCGACCCACTCTGGCCAAGTACCCTCCTTCACACCCATCTACTCCCCAGAATCCCAACAATTGACTGACGCCCCAGCAGGCCAAACCCCTCACAAGCTCGTCATCACCCACCAGGGTGGCCTGGCTCGCAAACGTCTGCACTACATAGGAATTGCTAGTGACACAGTTTCCAAATCTGGTCTGCCTAGGGTCCTGCTGAGCTGATGGGCAGCACCTGTGCCTTATCACCACTGTTTAAGATTGAAGTCCAATGTGGGGCGTCGGTGCGGTGGGGTCCTTCATCGTACCAGATGTGCGCGTACGCTGTTGGGCACACAAGTGCCACGTGCAAACCTGTCTCGTACACACTGCCAATGAACCGTTCGACCAGCACACATGCATGAGATCCCCCATCCACACACAAACACGCTCCTAAGCCCACTTGCACACACACTTGCAGAGAGAGCAA